CCGAGATGCCAGCCTTAGATCTACAAATCAACAATTCGCCCTTGCATGGAGTATTGCTGCCATATATGGTCTGGAGATCCTTCTGCTTGCCTCCGGCTACTTGATAGGCTCCAGAGGTGGATATGCAATATAATTTGCCCTGTTCTGGCATCTCATCTACAGTCGCTCTCTCACGGACGCGCCGTCGCTTCTCTCTGTCTTTTTTTATAAATACTTTCATGGCAATTGCTCCGAGGAGCTGCATTCGCTGGTTCCCAGACTTCATGAGTTCAAGCGCCCTACGAGGCTGGCATCCCACTCTCACCCTTTGACTGTCGAAACTAATAAATGTAGCCACCTCTTCTACTCCACTAGCTTCATGTCTCGCACCTCTCGCCTGTGGAACACCCTTCCCTATTACTGTTTCCCTGAGAGCTATAATCTCCAACTATTCAATCGATATCTCCAGTTACCTTGATCTATCCACTATCCTTCTCCTCATCCTTTCCTCTATCACTCCTATCTGATCTTGCTCCAAATCTTCTGTAACCCCTTGCGTCCTAGTGGCTTCCCGCCTTGCTTGGGGTGAAACGCTTAAAAAAAAGTCCGTGAACCAGTAACAATAGCTCGTCGGAACAGTTGCCGTGAAAATATTTGTAGAAGAGACACGGGGAGGCCACAGCACGTCTGTGGGATAGTGGTTATAGACTAGATGCCAGATCAGAACCTATCATATTCGTCTCTGGATTTTGTCAAGGACATCAGGACGAACAGCAGGAGCACCAGACCTTATATGATAGTAATATTCAATGCAAGGACAGATGGTTGATTTATAGATTATATAATAAAATATATAACATAATTATATACATATAATTTTGTGGATCATTTTCTTTAGATATGTATATAAAATAACGCTGGAGTCTATAAAATACGCACATACTAACATACTACCTCCTAAGCAAAGAAAGGAATGTAAAAAAAATAACGGAACGATACCAATGGGCGTAGTAAGTAAAACTGCAGTCAGCAGAACTTGTAGAAGAGAGTGGGAGAAGGGTTGAAAAAAAGGTGAATGGGGGGAGAGAGGGAGGAAACAAATAAAGAAAAAGAAGTCGTGTTTCTTAAGACGACGTCAACTTAGAATAACCACCTTTTTAGTTCAGTTTATCGTCACCAACTGCTCTGGAATTTATGTCTTTCTCCATGTTTACTCTCTCTCTCTCTCCGCGTTTCTATACGGCCTGCACATTGTCGTCTGCCGTCCTGTCTCCCACACTGATAAAAAAAAAATGCAAGTAAATATCCCCCGTCGGGAGTTCACTGTCAAGTAGGAATGTTTAAATCAGGATGTAAAGCAAAAAGAATTACGCATTAATCTGGTGTCGTCATCTTGCCAAGCATTTCCTTCATTGTTTTCTTTGGCCGCTCTTCAGGGGTTTTCTTTGAATTTCCCATTGTAACTAAGGATTTAACTCCTGGAAGCAAGGGGTGGAAAATCTGACATTCACAGAATATTAAAAAGGCAAGAGGGACAGAAGAAAACAACTCATAATTTACCTAAAGAGCTTAAATGAATGGCGGAACAGTGTTTTGGAAAATAACAGAAAGACAAAGATTATTTAACAGCTGCAAAGGACAGGAAGTTGTGGAGAGCCATGATCGTCTATCTCCTGACAGAACACAGCATATAAAGACCGTTCTTATATTTCTGTCTATGCTACGTGACAGGGATAGTGAGTACTAACCCCGCACCCCACGACCAGGAGTTGGATTCAGGTCTGTTTTGGGGCCCCGGGCTATGCTTTGTGACACGAGCTATCTTATTAACATTTGCTTTTTTTCTGCCTACATTTATATACGTTACAAATTAAGGGCACCTCGAGGCGGTGTAGTGGTTAGCAAGCATGTCTCGCTAGAACAATTACAACTGAGTCGTAAGTTCGATCCTCACTAGGGGCTCCATACTTTCGGCCTTTGTGCCATATCTAAGCTACGCTTAAAAAATCACTGGGTACCTCGGCGTGGTGTAATGGTTAGCAAGCTTGTCTTGCTATGTCAGTTACTACTGAAAAGTGAGTTCGATCTTCACTGGATGCCCCATACTTACGGCCTTGTGCCACATCTAAGCTATACTTGGAAAATAACTATATACGTTACAAATTAAACTAAGCTCAACTGACTATTAAAAGATGAAAACTTTTAGTGGATTTTAACGTCATTTTGGCTTATTTTTTTGTCCAAATCCGTGAATGCTAAGTCTCGAAAAAAACATTATATAAAATTCCCTACTTTGGGAACTTCAGCGTGGTGTAATTGTTAGCAGGCTTGTCTTGCTAGATTAATTACAACTGAAAAGTGAGTTCAATCCTCACTGGGTGCTCCACACTTGTGCCACATCAAAGTTGCACTTAGAAAATCTTTTTAGGCCATTTCAACATTTGAAAAAGACCCGTATGAAAAAGTTAAATGCCTTTGAGATGCCCAAAGTAACGGCCCAAGCTTGACCATTCTTATCTAAAGCTTGATAGACTCTTTCAGCAATAATTCTTAAAGCATCAGCAGTTGACAGAGAGAAGCGAAAGCTATATTGCTTGTCTAAAAGAAAACTACGAGACGTTCTTTTTCTTCAGTAAAAAATAATTCAGATACAACTGTATCATTTTCTGCCGAAACATTTCTCTTCAAAATAAGGATTCCTTCTCTACACTGACGCATATTATATTCCGGAAAAATACGATATATTCAGTCGGAGACATCTTCCTGAGCCAATGTACAGATTATTCCATTGGAGATGTTTATTTTTTTAATGTTGTAGCGATGCAAAGAGCGATTATCTCCCTTTAGTTGAGATGAAGTTACGGAGGTCAAGTGGCAGTCGGTGAGTGACGTCAGTATTATGAGTAACGCAGACCAGTTGCTATTTATCACGCTCTGAGTTAAGTGACGGCGACCCACATCAGTTGCTATGTAGCCAACAGAGAAGACGGACGCCACAAGCTCACAGCGGTAGGGCATGCAGAGGAACCTACATGGTCTCACACCATCGATTTGTCCATTTTTCTGGTGGGAAATGTTACAATATAACGTTGCAGCTCAGAACAGACAACTGGTTTGTTGACAGAGTACAGCGTCTTCTAGTCAAGTGCTTGTGGCTTTAAAATAACCCTTCGGCCAGATCGATACTTACGAATGAAAACCATGACAAGTTCTAGCAGTTAACCGGATTTTATTCTCGGGTAGTAACCTACTGCTATAGACGAATGAAACCGAGATAAACTATAGACGAGGGGGAAGGTGAACAGTCTCTTTCCTTCCACACGTTCTCTGTGGGCTCCCTCAGTGTCTCTGAATTTTTTCACAGTCAGTGGTCACTGTCTTATAGAGTACATTATACTTTGTCTGATCGTCTTTTTCTAAAAATAAAATTTCTCTTCATTCAGTCACCCTCTTTGTCCCAATCGCCTGCTATGTACATGTGAAGTCCACTTCAATTACTGATAACAATCGGGGGTAAATAAACGTCCGAATTTTTGTGGCATGTCCAGCTGTTTTCCATTTAACCCTAGAACACTAACCATGGGTATATCATACCCGATTTTGAAAATATCAAAAAAAATATTAAATATAAATCTTTATTTGAAATATTTTACATGCAGGCACTTCAAATTTTGTACTTTGAGTTAACGTTAATAGGAACTGAAAAACATATTATTTAGGTGAGAAAATCAGCATTATTTACATTATTCGGACTATTGTCCCCATTTTTGTCGCCATATTTATCCCAACGTTTCGGCTGTTGGTGCTTCAGGTGGTTGGAATTTCGAACTGAACCCTTTATTTCGCTCGCTGGGGTAGACTGTTCTAGTTCCATGTGCCATGTTTGATGGATGTCAGTTATCAGTTATCTCCTGCTAATTTCCCTCTGAAAGTTCTCCACTGCCTTAACCGGGTATTGAACTCACACTATTTGGGTCCTGTCACTTGATCTAACCAGTCAGTCAGTCGTTCAAGTCTGAACCGACTGTTCGGTTGTACTCTCTTCCTACGGACGGGAGGAACCCGAAGGAGGCTCGCCGAAGGGCGGAGTCTCCTTCGGGGAGGTAAAACCGGCCCTGAACCCGTTTATACGGGTTCAATGGGCATATTTTTGGCCGAGCCCACGGACTCGGAATGCCCACGTTAAAAAGGCCTTGTGCCACATGACACCCTCTTGACTGAATATCGTCACTTGATCTAACCAACGCCGTTATCCACTGTGCCATGTGTTCCTTGAGAACATCTGGGTATGAATTTCTGGGTATTATAAACCTAATATCTAATGTGGAACTAGAACAGTCTACCCCAGTGAGCGAAATAAAGGGTTCAGTTCGAAATTCCAACCACCTGAAGAACGCCGGAGCGTACAACGGCCGAAACGTTGTGATAAATATGGCGACAAAGATGAGGATAATAGTCCGAATAATGTAAATAATGTACATAATACCTCATCTCAGAAATATAGACAGACTAAAATCAGGTACTGAAAATTGTAATTAAAAATAGGAAAATTTGCGCTGGGTACTATATACCCATGTTTAGTGTTCTAGGATTAATAGGACATCAGCTGACTTATATCGCTACATATGACACACTCTCTTTTTTCCCCATTTCACACTGCTTGTTTTGTGCATATGTTATGATTTTTTTGTGTGGGTTAAATTAGTGACGAGTAATATATATATATATATATATATATATATATATATATATATATATATATATATAATCTCGGTATAAAAAAATCTGTTTGAGAATAATGCGTGTTCGTCATCCCTTTCTTTCAGCTATTCTGTTCCCTCCGTGGTATTAAGGTGTTACCTATCACGGATTTAATAATGTCTATAATGGAGACATGCAAACTGGGAATATTTCTTCTTTCAATATAACCTTCATTAATGTTTCTTTTTTTATATTAAACCTAATGCTATTTATATTTTCAATGCTTCTAATCCTTTTTTTTTCTCTTTTTGTATTGACAGGCTTACCAATTCAGTAAATTCATTTGCTTCTTGGTCCAAACTTTTGGGCAGCGGGGATGATGACTACGTCGACCGTATAAATCACATCTACACAGTAATCGTTCTTATCATATTCTCGATTGTCTCCAGCAGCGGGACTTACATCGGCCATGGCATCTCCTGTTGGATACCCGGAGAGGTCAAATACACCGATTACGTAAAGAATCTATGCTGGACCGGACGGACATACCATATACCGATGACCCATGATTTAGGGAACAAAGATAAAAGGATTGACATTCACTATTACCTTTGGGTACCTATGATCCTACTCTTCCAGGCCTTTCTATTTAAATCGCCGAACGTTCTTTGGAAAATGCTGAATAAAGGTAACGGCATGAACATAGAAAGGTTGGTAACACTGTCCGAAGACACTCAGATGGTGTCTGAAAATAAACGCGTTAAAGTCATTGAAGACATGAGTAACTATATAGACCGCTGGATTCGAGCCAATCGCCAAATGCGGTTCGGAAAGATGACATGCTTACGACAGACAATCAGCTACTTTCAAATGATTACCTTCAGTAAACGGGAAGGTACTTATCTCTCCAGCCTCTATCTGTTGGTCAAGATCATCTATTTTGTCAATGTCATAATGCAGTATTACTTACTGAATGCTCTTCTTCGGATCGATTACAAAGCCTACGGCTTGAATCTAGCCAGAGAGATCGCCGTAAACGGCACACCGGCCGAGTCACTATATTTCCCCCGGATTACTTATTGCGATTTTACGATTAGACAACTAAACAATAAACTGCCCTTGACGGCGCAGTGCATCTTGCCCATCAACGTGCTTAACGAGAAAATGTTCGCCTTTTTGTGGTTCTGGTTTGCTGTGGTGGGGGTATTTACGTTTCTTAATCTACTCCTGTGGCTGTACCGTATGATTGCCCGGGAAAGTTACGTTGGCTATATTTTCAAGTACCTGAAACGGGTAGGCGAGGGCTCGAGTAAGAACGAGAAAGCCCGTTGCAAAGAGTTTGTCGAACGGTACCTGAGGAACGACGGAGTGATGCTTTTGAGAGTGGTGGCCAAAAACTCGACTAATCTTGTCGTGTCAGATCTGGTGTCCAACTTGTGGCAACTTTACAAAAAGAAAGACGAGGCCACTGATATTGAGAAGTACACATCATCAACGACGATTGTTTAAGACTGTTGCAGTATCTCATCGCCACACAGGGCTACGAAGATTGCTAAAACCATTTGCCATCAGTGTGTAGCTCAGCTTAGAAAACGTCCATGCATTGTTTATGTACACGTCTGCTTGCTTTCATATATAAATCAATATTTAACCGATTTGATAAATATATAAAAGTACTGACTGTAATTCATCTATGTTGCATTGGATTTTACAAGTATATAAAACTACTGACTTTAATATATGAATGTGGTTTGAAAGATTTGCTTAAGGCCTTCACCAAAGTTTTACAAAATTAAGTTTGTTTTTATACCAATTTTTATATACGTCTGCTTACTTTTATATATAAATCAATATTTAACTGATTTGATAAATATATAAAAGTTCTAAGGAAATTAATTTGTTGGATCGAATTTTACAAGTATATAAAAGTACTGACTTTAATATATGAATGAGTTTTGAAAGATTTGCTTGAGACCTTCACCAAAGATTTACAAAATTAAGTTTTTTATACCGACTAATCTGTTCCATAGAATTTTATAAACACTTGAATGTACTGACATTTTTTTATATTACATTTCTCTTTGGGCACAATTACTGCCAAAATTAGAATGAATTTTATAATTCTAGTCTTGCACTAAATTGTTCAGTGCTCATTGGATAACTGTTTATTGTGATCTTATATAAATAAGTACATAACTCCAAATACAAAACATTCTAAAACCTTACAAAACACTAAAAGATATAAATCTACATGAAAAGTACTGTATAATATTTCATACAGGTTTCTGTATAGTAATTGACTACTAGCAAAAGTGCAGTACACGTAAAAGCGTATTCGCCACTGTCACATGAAATTAACATTTTTTGTATTTTTTTTTCCAGGATTTAATTTCCAAATTCATTATGCAATATTTATATCTGTAATTGTAGGATTGGTAGCAGTTTATCGAAATATATTTCCATAATGTACAAGTTTATATTAACAGAGGTTCTACTTGCTAAACTTGGAGATCCGAGTTCATATTCCAGTCGGGTCCGTTACTTTTACATACGTCAAAATAAACTAGGGAAAAAAAAATACGTATCCATCACTCTCCCCTCAAGCTATAGATTAAATAACAAGACAGACTGATCCCTATAAACTTTTTTTTTTTTTTTTTATATTTCTTTATTTCTTTTTTCTTTCTCTGTCTCATCTCTAACTTTAATTGTTATATTTCTTTCTATTCCCATTATTTATTACCGATTCCATCAATAAAACGGAATGTATAGGTGGTGTAATGTATAGAGGCTCGGGATTCGAACTCTGATAGCCGAGTTCGAATTCAAGTCAAGATAGCTGCATTCACTTATACGCAATTTTTTTAGGGGAAATCCGCAAATTAATCCATCTCTTCTCCCTCAGTCTATGGGTTAAATAATAGTCCAGATTGGGCTCTCTACCTTTTGCAGGGATGTGTGTAGGTTTTAAAGAATAGCAGCTTGGAATGAGTATGAAGTCATCTCTTCTCACCCCAACTATGGGTTTAATATTAAGAACTTTATTAGTAAGAATCATTGTTATTCTCAAAATATTTCTTAATGCAATATTCACTCGCTATATATATATATATATATATATATATATATATATACTGTTGATAAAGACGAAACCGCATTTAAGAAATGTTTAATACACTAATCGTGCAATACAACAGATTTTATCGATTAGACGATATTTTAGTGGTTACTCATATATAAGTAGACGCCATGAATCCTGATAGTGGTCGTATATTTTTCTTTAATAAGATTTCTCAAATATTCTGGCCGATAGACAAAAATAAATAAATATGCCGATTAATAAATAAACTTAAATATGTGTACCCACTCAAAATAACGTTTATGGGATTATATATATATGTGTGTGTGTGTTTAAATATACAAGTATGTGTATATATATATATATATATATATATATATATATATATATATATATATATATATATATATATATATATATATATATGTGTATATGGATGTGTATATATATATATATATATATATATATATATATGTGTGTGTGTTTTAAATATAAAAGTGTGTGTATATATATATATATATATATATATATATATATATATATATATATGCATATTGGTTAGAAAGTTTGCTTTCTGACCGTTAGACTCAGGTTCGAATATTACCCTGGTTGATTTGTCAGGATCGTTACTTTTCGATGTTATCGGTCTTGATTGCCTTTGCAAAGTGCCTGAAAACCATACCAAAACTCTTTGTGCACGATATCACAAAAGTCATCGTATCCTTGTTCAGATTGTTCTTCCAGAAACTGTAATTAAGGTCTGCTCAGCATAATTTCAGCGTAAACTACAGGTGGGCTCTGTACGGGTTGATTGAAATACGCCTGGGTGGGACTCTGCAGTGGGGATTAGGTAGCTGCCCTAATAGATAGGGGACTCGCTATTATATATATATATATATATATATATATATAAAATAAAAATCCTAAGGAGCCAGGAAAACCTACCTAGGTTTCACCTAAACGGATCTTCAGGGTAAGCTGGCTTACCTTGAAGATGTGTGTGTGTGTGTGTGTATATATTTATATATACACACACACAGAGATATATATATATATATATATATGCGTCGTGGGTACTGAATAAACACAAATGCGCCCGAGCAAGCGTCTGCAGTAGGGATTGGCTAGCTGCCCTAGTAGACGGGTATCCTCGAACACCAGCTATGCATGGTGGATAGAAAATTTGCTTTCTGGCCGTTAGACTAGGGTTCGAATCTCACCATGGTCGATTTGTCAGGATCGTGACTTCTAGGTGTCATCAGTCTGGACCGCCTTTGCAAAGTGCATTTACATGTATGTATGTATATACATGTGTGTATATATATATATATATATATATATATATATATATATATATATTTAAATTTTATCTATGTATCTAGAATCACAGGAATGTTTTTATATTCCAAACACCGTCAGTGCATTGTGGCCTTGTCATATTTTTTGTTATTCAGTGTTGCCTTTTTCTGTTTTTTTTTTTGTTTTTTTTTAATAATATTACTGCTTCCATTATTTTTAACCAAACTCATATATACATATATTCACTTTCATAGCAGTTATTCATTCTTCTGAATTATAGTTTCACGAATGGTTTCAGTTTTAGAAGTATCGTTGATTAGAACACTTATAATGTCACTGTTATAATGTGTCACAAACATGCCGACGTCTATAAATTATTCAGTTTTTGTTGCTCAAAGTTCAATTAAAACCCAATGTAGCCGCTGGCAAGAGTGTCTCTTCTGAATCGTTCAAAAATGTTCGTGCTAGTTTCTTGTGAGTCATGTAATTTTAGCTTTTCCTGGTAAGTCCAGTCTGATTGAATTAAGACATACTCGTTGTTTAAAGAAGAAAGAATGTTGTTGTTGTTAATAGTAGTTGTAGTAGTAGTAGTAGCACTATATCTGGAAGAAGAGGTTGCTGACGTAGAAAAGAAGCAGACGTATAAGTTGTCAATCTAGTTGTGTTCGTGTGACTAGCTGTGTACGAAAGCTTGCAACTTGTATGGGACTCCAAATAGTTTCAGATTTCATAGCCGTAGTTGTGTTTTCTTAACGTCATGGTTTATATACGGTGTTAATTTCAAGACGTGGGAAATCATGGCTCTCCACAAATTCCTGATTTTGTTTCCTGTGTGTTATGTTATACCAAAACCATAATTCATAATTACGATTTTTTTATTCTTTTTTTTTTTGCTTAACCTAATTCTAAGAAATGACGACAACTACATGTAGTGTTACCAAAAAGATTGGGAACATAAAACGTGCATTCGTCAGAAATTAAATTTTCAAAAAGTAAGACATTTTCCTCGGTAAACATGAACCTTTGCTGTATCAAAAGGATTATTTTGTTTCCCTTGACACCGCTATTATTTTTAACTATCGTCTCTCCTCGGCAATGTTGACTGTTTTAAAAGGCGGCGATCAGAATTGTAATAAAACCTAATCATAATGAAAGTGAATTTATACATGATTATACATGAAAAAAAAAAAAAAAAAAAATTAAACACTGTTAAGAGACACGGGAAATAGGAAGTTGAGGAGAACCATGATCACCATGAAGGGACTCGGCACATAGAAGAAAAAGAAGATATATTTTATGTCGTGATAGAATATTTTAAAATAATTTGTAAAAATTAATAGATGGATCTTGTCAATCAATTTAAGGAAGCGTGTATTAGAGAGGACACACACACACACACACATATATATATATATATATATATATATATATATATATATATATATATATATATATTGTCTTGCAAGACATGGAAACGATTTGTTCACGGATGGATCAATCTATTTCTTGCGCTTTTGAGGTTTACTTCGTATTTTTGATCTATTGTTTATAGTTTATGAAGAAATAAAATTACTATAAGTAAATAAATTCAGTTATCCTATATCAGCATTATATATATATATATATATATATATATATATATATATATATAAGGTGGACAATGAGATAGATCCACTGGCGACAGTCTATTTCATGCTTCCACCCAATCCTCAGGTTTTCGTTTAATCTATCTATCTATCTGTGCGTGTGTTGGTCAGCTCGGTGTGGTGTAATGGTTAGCAAGTTTTTCTGGCGAGAACAATTAGGACTGAGTAGTGACTGTGAGTAGTGGTCTGCTCGTAGAACATCCCTATCTATGGATGCGTTTCTGTGCATGATAGAAAACATTGATAGAGAGATACTCGCTTATGTCTGGGACAAGTAACCTTAGATATTTCCACAATTCTGCATGTGTGTGTGTGATTTCAAGTGAGCAAAGAAAGCAGACTTGACTGACCAGTTAATATACACTTAGAAATTGCAGGTATGTAGTCATAACCTCACAGACAAACCTCAACGTCAGACGAATTCTTTAATCTATCTATCTATCTATCTAAATTCCCATATTTCTCAGTCTGCTTTTATCACCACC